GGCAGCTTGCACCTTTAATTCCAACTCCATAGCCAAAGCGGCATAGTTGGAATTATTTCAGTGTTTGGGTATTATGCTGGTATCTATTTATTCCTGTTAATAGCGAGGAAGGAGCTGCGCCAGAGCAGAGCAATGCTAAGCTTGCAGCCACGTTTGGAGAGTTGCAATAGGTAAATCCTTTGGCAAAACCTCCCGTGCACCTTCGGTGGAAATACAAAAGAAGCGTTACGAAGCAGCCCTGAACGCTGCACATTTCCTGTTCCAAGCACGGCCGTGCCCCTCCAGCAGCCGAGGCAGTCAGCTCGCAGAAGAAGTGGACCTGAGTGAAGGAGGGCAATGAAAGTGCTGCGGTGCTGTGCAGAGGGAACACGCTGCGAAGGAGGGAGGAAAAAAGGACAAACACTGACGAGAAAGATTGAGGGTAGGAAAGAGGCTCTCAAATGACACGCTGATGCTGAAGTCAGTTGAACCCAGGCAAAAACTCCCTACAAATTCAGCTAATGCATAAAACATTTTTTTTCATTCCTGGGCAATGCTTTCAGACAGCTGCTTTCTGGGTCTCCAATACTTCAGGAAAAGGGAAAATTATCCTGTACTTGCCACGGGAATGACACCAGTCCCATGCTGCTGTGGGACCGATGAGCAGTCCCACCAGATGGTGCTGTGACCCTTCCACTGCTCAAATTACTTCTCCTTTCCGCTGAGCAATTTGGCATCGAATCTCCAACAGCAAGGATGGGAGACTGCTGGCCAGGCACACTCAGCTCCAGGGAAGCTGGTACTTCTTGCCACAGAGCTGTAGGTACACCCAGAGCTCCGCTCTGCACCTTTACAGCCATCTGCGCAGAGTCTGAAGTCCCTTGAGCTCAGCCTCCTCTGAAATCCCCCTTACCCCACTGCTGACTGTCACTGGGTGTGGGTCATTCCTGTTTTTGGCTGCCCCTTGCCATCCTGATCTCCCTATGGAGGTCTTTGCAGTACCTTCCTTCATGTTCCTAGGAAAAGAAAGGTCTGCTCAGGAGTTTATTGGTTAACACATAGGTGCATCCCTGGTTGAAAGAAGGAGAAAAGAAAGAAAAAAGAAAAATAAAAATCAAGCCACAAATCCCTTTTGTTTGCCACAGCCTGGAGAGATCCAACAAGACCCTAACTAGGAGAGCTAACACCTCTCTCCTGTCACAAGCTTTATACCTTTAAAAACCACTGTAGTTACAGACATAAAAGTGTCCTGCATGAATTATCCTTTGTCACCAAGCTCTTGCCTCTATCTGCAACCAGGCACAAGCTTTTCAGGACAAGTGTCTGCATTTGAGGAAAGCATTAAGGTACCAGGATTCATAGGAAGGATGCTTCAGCCTGTGGCAAGCTTGAGACTTCGCTACAGAAATTTACTACCTCTACATCCACTGTCTGGATCTGATGCAATGCCTACAGATGCTTGGCTTGAAGACTGCTCTCCCTGTATTGGGTTTGTCCAGCAATGAGGTCAGCTACCTAAAAACGGTATCAGCATCCCCACAGAACAATAGCCCATTCACAGTCCCAGCTTCTCTGCAACCAAGTAGAGAACAGATAAAATGAGCCTCAGCAGAGCTCAGAAAGGGTATCTTCACACTAGTCTTTTTTATGGTTTCTGTATGCTGGAAACCACCTGCTATTTCATCCCAGGCAGTAACAGGTTACTGTTTCCCCGTGCCCTCCCAAAGGTATTGTAAACTACAGTTCACGTTTGTTAAGTGCTTGAGATACACAGTTAAAAGACCAAAGTAGATTTAAATGTACACACATAACTATATATACTTCATAATTAAAATAAACAACAGTGAGTAGTCATAAATATGACAAACTGCTCATCAGTTCACCGCTTTTCTGTAATCCATTTTGCCTTACTCATGCTACCTAGTTAATAGACAAAGACTTCATAATCTGAACTTCAACAAGTAGCTCTTGAATTGTGCTCGTACATTCCAGTTCTCTGTCTCCCTACAAGTAGTCCGGAGTTATAAACTCCCACTGACCTGAGTGGCATTCAATGTGGGTGTACTTGCAAGGTTATGTCCCCTAGTCAGTAAAGCTATAAGGATGAAAACAGGGGTGTACCCCAGTACTAAACAATGCAAAGATGAACTGTTCATAATAAATATTTCTTCAAGATTGTGTCTTTGGTGGATTTTCAACTCAGAATTATAACTCAGAATTAAGATGAATCTATGGAGCAGCTCTACATTCCTTAGTGCAGAAAAGCCAGTGTATTTTCTGGTTGTTCCTCATCACAAAACAGTACCCTAGTGCTTTTGGGCTATGAAGACTAGAGTGGTTTTGTACAATACCAAGATACTAACTTTGGAACCAGTCCAGCGTGGTTATTAATAGTAGGTAATGCAGAACATATGTCAAAGCAAAGGCTGTCAAATCTGGCTGACAACTACTCACATCTCAATCGTATAACTTGGCAACGTGGGCATTTTTTTCCATAATATAAAGCAATTCCAATCAACTGCAGATTGCACTTCACAGAAGGTTCAGTTACAAGCAGACGCCAGGCTCTCACTATTCATCTGGAGACACATACAGTACGTGAACAGAGTAAAGAACTGGTTTGTGATTCGAAATAAGCAGTTTCCTTTACTTGGCACCAGAGGCAATACAGAGCTGCCGAGTGTGCTCACCTGGCACCACAGTTGTATAGTTTCTCGAGCCCCCACAGTCCTGAGGACTGCAGTTCATCTCACCTCATCTGCAGCAGCCAAGGCAGGTTTACCTGCGCAACGCCTTTCCCTTCCAAGGGGTAACGGATACAGTGCCAAGGAGCCGGAGTGACAGACCAGATCAACTCCAGTACCACGGGCGCACTGCGGGGAGGGCTTGCCGACGCTCTGTGTTCATGTCTGAATGAGGCCCATATGCAAGGGCCATGCTTGGCATGGGACATCATAGCTAAGAATTATTTTTCTACACACACACGTATATAGATTTGTATGTAAAATATGTTTCTGTAAATATGTATGTATGTGTCAATATGTATGGTGTATAGGGGGTTCAAAGTAAGCCTCAACTTTTGGTTCTGCGCCACAGCTGATTAGGACAAAATACTTCAGCGAGTTGCCGTTAACACAAATATAATAGTAGGTTCAGGTGCAAAATATAAGGTTTCTTTCAGCTGCATTTAGGCATACTGGGTTGTGTGCCTTCCTAACTCTTGCTAGGAAGAAAGTGGCAGACCAAAAAGACCTCTCTATTTTACTTTGTAATCAACTTTCATGTGAAGGAAGCCCACACTGTCTTGTCTTTAGTTTGTTTCACATCAGTCGTGTTTTATTTCAGGAAAGTCTACATGATCATTTTGTTAGAGTGCTTTACTAATTGCACCACTAAGAGTAGCCCATGTTTTTCCATTAACAAGCAGCAGCCAGCACAAAGGATCTAGATTTTCCGGAGGGTTTTCGTCCCTGTAGAAGCTGCTCAAGTGCAATGGGGTTCTACAGAACAACTAACTCATTGTGAGGCAGCAAACACACACAATATCAGATTCAGCAGAATGGCACCATCTCAGACTGATGCAGAATTTGGCTCACACTAATTTATTATGAGTTGTTCCATATTTTCCTGGCCTTGCTGTAAGATGTTTGGAAATGGTCTAGTACTTACTGCCCTCAGGCTTTTCCACCCATTTACCTGGAACTGCATTCTGTTCCTGCTTGTGGTGAAAATCTTGGGTGAAAATTTCAGGGAAAAACACATGCAGGCTAGCTGTGCTTAACCAGTTACAGTTTATCTGTCACTTTCTATTGCAATCACCAACTGCTTTTATGGCAATTGCGATCACCAACTGCTTTTATGGCAATGTAGAAAAGCTTGAGGCTAGCACACGTGATATCAGTACATCCTCCACCAGCTGAAGAATAAGTTTGTTTACACACCCACATGTTTGGCTACTGGATTTCATGGCTCTTTGCTGATAGCAGCAGACTCTGAATTAGAATGAAGATTTCCAATTTCCATTCCACATTTGATCTACTAGACCTAAGTATCTCCTTAATTTATCAATTATCAGGAATAATGGATTTTTTTTTTTCATTTAATTTTCAGGGACAAAATTCCAGTTCCTTTCCTTACAATGAATAGTTTCTTATTGCAAACATTGTTCCAAATATGTTAGTGAAAAGACATCAGTGGACCTGTCACAGGCAGATACAGGTTTGCCCCATTAACAAGTTAAAGGGGAAAAAAAGAACTCACATGGAAGAGACATTTGCAAGGCTTTTATCATTTGGCCAGAGAGCAAAATAGGGTATCAAGGAAACAACTTCAAATGTATCTGCAAGGACAACATTGTACTAAGAATACCGCTAACGTTTCAGGGCTTGCTCCAAGATGTTCTCGTCCACCACCTTGTGAGGGAGAGTCACCTTCAATGTGTCATTCTCTTTCATTGCTTGGCAGATCGTTTCATAAGCATAGTCATTACCCGACCAGCAGCGTCTGGCAACCTGTCAGACCAGAAAATCAATAGGTGCAAAAATCGTACATATCTCTTGCCACATCCATCTGACACAATATTTGCACAAACACTGGCACCCAATTTCATGACAACAAATCTTTCAACCCTCTGCCAGTTTCTGGTTTCCTTACTGATTTTGGAAGTAATTTTTGTAATACCTACTTCATTTTTATGAGTAGTATGTGGATAGACTTGGTACATTTTCATGCAGAAACATAACATTGGACAGGTAACATTGGTAGAACCAGGTACCTTACAAACTTTACAAAATTCTCTCACTAAAAATAATCATGCACTCCATCCCAGCTCTGTAAAACTAGCACTTGCTTTAGGTAACAGTATAATTTAAGCAATCCATGCTTTTGTAGTGGGATAAATATTTTAAAAGGAAAATGTCCCCAAGTGCATTTTCAAACTATGAAATCAAGGAGCCAAATTCTCTGCCAGCACATAAGGATGAAACTTTATGGACAGCCATGGAACTGGTAAACACCTCCTCCAACAACAAAGCTCTGCATTTCGATCTGTGTACAAGCGAGATTCCCCAGATGAAAAAAAGTCAAGATTTGGCACAAAGGAAATAAGTCCTTCCCTCTATTCAATGCCTCACAAATCTCTATTAAGAATTGCAAATCAGTGTCTGAAATATTCAGGCTCAAAAGTACTCAAGAAAGAAAATACTTAGGTTCCAATTTAGCAAAATATTTAAGCATATGATTAATGTAAGCTGAATAAGTTCCCAGGATCATAGCAATAACATCTAGAAACGACCTTTCAAATTAACAACTCAATTTCCCTGCCACTCACCTAGGATTAGTCCTGGCAGTATAGTTTCAGGGGTACACTCCAGTTTCCTTCCAGTCTTGTATATAATATGGGTAGCATTCTCTGAATGTCCTTTTTCAACATGTGTGTGGAGGACTGGGGCTTTTGCTTGCAATAAATCAGAGCAGCAAAAGATTTATTGGGTTTTTAATAGGCTGTCTCTGATACACAGTGCATGTTAAGGGTTTGTCTTCATTACTCTAATCTACAAATTAATATAATTGTCCTCCTCCTTCTTCCTTAATAGTTTACTAATGTGTTATTTCAGATCTGGGACAGGGAATATGTGCAAATTGTTCCTCCTCCTCTTCTACCCCTAGTCACGCCAGGTCTTATGGGGAGAAAAAAAGATGTTTAGGTCTAAGGGAAAAAGGAATTCTGCAATTCTCTTGAGAAGTAAAACAGAACAGATCATGTCAGCATTGGCAAAGGAGCTCCCTCAATACATCAAGTCCTTGTGAGGCTTCATGACTGAAATGTGACAGGTTTTGTCCTTTAATTGGACTGTGCATCGCTATGCCCTGCTGATTAGGTTCCCTGCAAGTACTGAGTCAAAATCTCTCTGCCAAAACCTCTCTAGTCTTAAACCCAGACAGGATCTATCTGGACACTGATGGAATGCAAAAACTCTAATGGTAGCAAGGGCTGGATGAGCTGGCACTTAAATGACAAGCCTTTCAAGATACCTTGATCTAGATGTTAGGAATAGAGAAGACTAAAGTTCATATAGTTGTCAATTGTATTATGTAGGCAAACAACAATGCCAACACATCTAACAAAATTATCATAAGCATGCTTCCCTTTCTGCTTAAAAAATAACAAAACACACACTGAGATATGTGGAAACTATTGGGCTCCAATATGTTGTAAAGTCAGAGGGGGTGGTCCTGACACTTTACAGTCGGTTCCTTACCCAAGAATTATTCAGTGTCTTTTATTGACTTAAAGTCCTTTGAAGTTGGTTGGAGGGAAAAAAAAAAAAAAAACCCAAACCCAACCAAACAAAACAACTCGTTGGCTCCAGTAGAATCAGGCTCATAACCACCCATATTAGAAGCAGTGAATAGAATTAGTCACTTGGCCCATTAGGACTATTCCTGGGATACAAAAAGACAGATTCCAAGAACTCCTGCCTGAATGCTCATACTCACATTCAGTTAAAAAGAATAGGAGCACTGGAACATGAGTACCTAAATAAACATAGTCCCAGAGGCAGGAAGATGTTAAAGTGAACATATATAATGAGTATTGCTTACTCCATTGGAAACATCCCAGCTGAGCATCATCTTAGCCCGTTCTTCAGCCTCTGTGGATCCATCCAAAACCAGGCCAAATCCCCCATTGATCACTTCACCCCTAAGAAAAAATGTAGGAGAATTAAATCAGAACAATTCAAACCAATCCCACAAAATTCACAGGAGTTAATGTCTTCAGTTGCACTGCAAAAAGAAGGATGAGAACATAGAAATGGTGCTGAATAAGAGACACTATCAGTGACCTTTTATACTTACAGGGGAAAAAAAAAAACCCAAAACAAAAAGGAATTTAGTAGGGCAAAGGCCTAATTTCCTGACCTGCAGCAAACCTATTCCACCTTTCTTGTAGTGCCCAGCTAACAGTCAGTATCTGCTCCAAGCAGGAGTGCCAAAAACTAAGCTTGCACTGCATCTCCTGAGGACTGCACGCTGTACTGGCTCTAGAAACAAGAAAGGTTAGCACTTCTGATGGGCTGGAGAGTTACCTGTCTCAGGGTATTGTTAAAGGTTAAGCTGTTCATGTTTGCTACACTAGAGCCTGCCATATAGATAGGATCATGCGGAGGACTGTGCACTTATTGAAGCAGACAGATGGATCTATTTATATTCTCTCGGGACAAATGAGAGAGCATAAGCATTTTATTAAAAAAGCGTTAACCACCACTTAATGCACATCTGCCTTGATCGTTTCAAAAACAGTCATTCATTTTGTATGAGATACATAGATGTTTAAAGACACCAGTGCCAACTTTTCAGGAAGCAGACTTATTGGCAGAAGAACAACAGAAATATGTTAAAACTAACAGATTATACTTGGGAGAAATGCCAGTCTGGTATTAAAAGGACAGGGAAAACACGTAGAGCAAAACATCTTGTCTGACTTCAGTCTGGCCTGCTCAAGTTCTTGTTTCATCGCAGATGGTGAATAGTGGTGAATGCAGCTGGATAATTACCTGTTGCTGTAAATCTGTGAGAGTGCTGGCATTATAACTGAGCATCAGCAATACCTGAGGGATGGGCATATCATACAACAATACATGGTATGAGACACTACTAATGGAGATCCCTGGAGGTAGGATTTTGTCCTCTGTGCTTTACAGTTAATATAATGAGTAAGTTTACAAAATTTACATAGAATAACATCAGACATATCCATGAATCAGACAGGAGTTAGGTGACTTCCAGTCCAGGAAGGAATAATTTCTTACTGTATATTTTCAAGCAGTAACTTGAGCTTCTCAGGAAATGGGCAAATGAGGCTACATTGCAGCCTAACAGACTGAGATCTTCTTCCTGAAACTAGAACCCACATTTTCTCATTTTCAATGTAATGTTGTTACTTACGTGATGTTAATTCCCTTTCACTAGTTATATACGCTACCTGTATGCTAAGTAGACCCTATCACATAGCTGAGCAAGGAACTTAAAGCTCCAAATCTCACTATCATGGCACCATTCTGTGAATTCCCTCCACTTTACCATTATTAGATATATCATTATTACAAATACATTTTCTGTTGAAAGGCACAGTTTTCTTGAAACTGACAGTTCTCACAGCAGAATGTCAGTGAATGAATCAGTTTCTTATCTTTTAACATGAAAATTTGAAACAAAGTCATGTTTTCAATTGAGATGTTTGAATATTGTAAGCTCTGACTCTTCAAAATAAAATGTTTCTTTTTGATTGACCCTGTCAATACTTTTCAGCCTGGAATTTAATTCCCAGGATCTTTTCACTGTGTGAAATCTTTCATTAGTTCTGCTCTTAGTCTCATTTTGGGATGAAAACAAACATCCAAACATCTGCATTTCTTGCAAACTCTACTTTTTGAATAGCTCATGTTGTTACTGTCTTCTCCAAAAGAGGGGACCAGACTGGATGACAACATTACAAATGTAATTATATCAGAAACAGGGCCAGTTACCTCACCATACTCTGCTGCTTTTGTGTACAGAGACCAAATTAGCACTATTCTTTACTGTCAAAGTACCAAGCTAGAGTACACTTATGAATGCCAATGATGCCGTTGCAATGTAATTGGGACCAAAGTATGAGCATACCTCAACACAGCCTATTGGCAATATCAGACAATAAGAAAATTAGACCTTTGGACCAGTGCTTTATAAAGATATTCCATGTGGGAAGATGAGGTTCTTTCAGTGGCAAAGATCCCCTCCGTGCACAGCATCCTGAAGAACATACTTTGAAGCTTAGGCATGAATAGTGAGCATCTGAGCTCACTTGCACTCCATAAATTTAGAGCCTCTCTATCAATTTCCACGGAGTTACTCCAGTGTAAATCAGAATCACTCATCAGAATCTGTCCTACTGTCTAAAAATCACTCATAAATTAAATGCCAATGTTTGTTAGGATGGATTTTCTAGCCAAACCTCTCACTTTTAAAGGGGAACTCTCTGCCTTCATTAACATTGGGTCACATTTTCAGGTAATTAAAGAAACATGTGGCATTTTGACCTAAGCTACCTCCTATAATTTCCAGATGTCTCCTTCTAAGGTGATCAAAGAAAACAAGGCCTCTCTCACAATCAAGATGTCACACTGTCAACAGTGCAGTTCGATTCTTAAATTGCTTCTGCCTTTGTTGCTACAGGTTACTCAAGCTACGTGCTAATATACATTCTCCTGCAAATAAACAGGCAGCAAGAAATGAATAACATTCATTTGGTGTAATTATAGTCAAGACTATGTTAATCTTAAGTCTCTCAAACAGCACATGTGATGCAGATTCCAGCTAAATAAATATTAATCCTGCTTTTTCTGTTTGTCCCACAAGGTGGTAGAACAGAAAAATCAAAGAGGTAAAAGGCAATCCTCTAGTCTCATAGGGAAGACATGGCAGATCTGTCAGCAGTTCCAGGCAAGGCCAGCCTCTGCAGGGAGGACTGGTAGCTGAACACAGCGCAACTGCCATTTCTGAACTCCCTGAACGGAAACTTGCCAACGACAACTTGATTTCTCTCTAATCACGTGCATATTTGTTTATAAATATATATAAGCTTCCACATGCACTTTCCCATTTTCAAATCAGCTGATTTTATCAGGCACGTGGAGATTTCATTATGGCAAAGTCAGCTAAATTTTTAGCTCTCCAGAGAAAAAGAAAAACAGGATCCTAAAACCTAAAGACATCTGTCTCTTCCAGGCAAAGAAAGTAATTTGTTACGGTTGGGGGTTGGTTTTTCTTCTTTTACCACCTTTAAATTATTCCTCTCTTTCTCCTTAGAAGGCAAATGGGTGCAACGCTTTAACTAGCCAGGGTGGTGCCATGATTAGTTAAGCCAAGCAGAACTACCTGCCATGCTGTGGCTTTCGGGGGCTCTCCAGACCACAGCATCTAATGACACGACATTGTTACCACATCCGAGTCTCAGCATGGTGGCTTATTAAGGCTCGTGCAGAGACAGGCCTAATTTTGAGGCTCTGCATTCTTCACTGAAGCACAGTAATTTAATCACAGAGGGCTATGACAGCTCCCAAGAACAAGGTGAGCAGATACTGTTCCACAATAGCAAGCCACTAAGCAGCCATAGGAAATGTCAAAAAGGATAACCAAACCCTGTTTTTCCATTGATATTTTGATTTCAGTGAATAGCCACACAGTAATTTTCTGATGCATTACATAAATAACAGCACCTCTGCTCTGCCTTGGGGAAGAGCTTCTTTCTAATGATGTAACTCTACTTAAGAAACAACTAAAACAATATAAATGAAATTGCAGTGTGGCCAGTGCCAGTTTTCCAGAAGTAAGGGCAGTCACACTATTCAGCCAATCTGTCTTTGAATTGCTCAGAAGGCTGGAAACATGCAGGAGGAATTGACTTTACAGGGGCCAGAGAGAGAGGGAATATGATCATTTGTATCCTTTGAATTAAGCATCATCGATGCACAGAACATTCGTGGCATAAGCAATTATTTTAGCAAGTCTAATAATTATAATTCTCAATTATCATAAAAATACTCCAAATATTTTGCACAACATGTAGTGGAAAGTTATTTTCTTTGCTTGTATTTCATAAGCAGATATTTTAAAAGGTTAAACTCAGCTAAGGCCATTCAGACAGATCTAGTCTGCTGCTATCTCTGGAGTCTGAGACTGAGATGACCAGAGTAAGCACATATTCTGGTATGTATTTTCCATTCAGAATTATGGAAGTTGTGAATAAAATCCTGGCCACAGTGGGTGTTATTGCTGAAATCAGTAAAGCCAGATTTTCACTCCATGTGTCTAATCCCTCAGAAACCCTTCGTATCCCACTGTTCAATTTTGCTCTCATATACCTTCTATTCAGTAGTTACTTCAATGAAATCAAAGGGGTTAGAGTACAGGAGAGGGAATTCTCCATCTGACTTGAAGGGACATTTTCTAGATCCAGATCATCTGGATGAGTAATAATAAATTATCATCAAATGTCTCTGAGGATAACATCTGCTACAAGTTTTTTGGCTTGCTCTTGTTGGCATATTCCAGAGCTGGATGGAACAGGGAAGTGTGAGGGTTCACTACAGCATTTAATAGAGGGTTGCCCCACTTTTGACTGGCGACATCACAAAATGAAGCCATGACTGTAAATGGGACAGGCTTTGCTGGACTATGCTGGAAAGAACAAACCAGAACTAAAGAGTCTGCAGTGTGGCCAGGTTCTCCTTTTCCCTAAACCTCTGCCAACCCAGAGCAACCTTTTAGTGGCACATGAAGGAGATTAATTTCCCTCTCTATACATAATATTTATCTCATTCTGCACCTCAGTTTAGACATTTCTCTTAGTTCTGCACCTTAAGAAGGAGGTGTTTAATCAAGTCCTTACTTGGCTGTGGTCTTTTATCCTACCAGGCACGAGCAAGAAGAGAAAGAAGACTGGGGGATTTGCTGGCACCTGAGCTGTTTTGTATCAATAACCCCCTCATTGCACTTTAGCACATGGGCATTTATATTGGGGTCCTAAGGTCAAAGATTTAAATACAGCTTAAGGGGAAACCTAAACATAATCCATCCACTAACACTCTGTCTGTGCATGTGTGAAGACAACTTTGGAAGTAGGATCTGTTCAAAAAGACCACAGCAGACTGTCCTTGTTTGGCAAATTAAGTTCTCCAAACTGTGCTGTGGCCAATGTCCAAAACACTTTTTCTAGACATATGGGCATTAATTAAAAAAGCCTCATACAACACCACACTTTACCTTATAATACATCCTTGTCTCCAAACTCATCCTTCCCATGATCATGACATTGTACTACTCCAGTAATACACACATCTTTTCTGCAATTCCCCTCCTGTCTCTCTTCCCCACACGCATACAGAACAGTGGTAATGGGATTCAGAGTCCAGCTTTAGAAACATAGATAAGTCCTTACCAGCCAACTCCACCACCATTGTGCAATGCAACCCAGGTCGCTCCTCTGAATGCATCTCCTACAAAATTTTGTACCGCCATGTCTAGGAGGAGAGGAAAGCTGTTACGGCTCTGACATGCTGCATTCATTTTTTTGTTATGCTGCTCATTCCTTCCACTAACACCTTGATTTTGGCTGTGCAAAGGCAGTGTTGGAGGCAGGGTTTACTCACAGCTTCTCTCACAGATATACACTGATATACACTCATTCTTGGGAGGAACAGACAAGAGAGATTTTCCTCCCACTCTTTGCTCCTATGCTGGAGGAAGCAAATGCCAATTTCACACTGTGGTTTGTGAGGACGCTGGTGATTTCTGCATTTGTGATCCAAGTCAAGCAGTTGAAGAACCTACCACTCCTCAGCTGGGAGATACCTCCCAGGGTGGAGAAAAATACAATCGTCTCCTTTGGGATGCCTCAGTCATGGAAGAACAGGCTGGACACATCCATGTGGAGGGTTTCAAAATGCGGGGGACACCTGGAAAACTACACACCTTGCAGTTCTCAGAAGCCTGAAGTATTTTCAGATCAGACTGCAGAGTTAATTCAGCCCTGTGCAGAAAGCCAGTCTAAAGCTAAGGAGCTGCATGTTGGGATGAAAGTAACATTGGCCCCAATTCTCTGGACATGGGGGAGTTTTACCCTGAACATGAACTGCTGAAATCACACAGGAGGTTTCTTTTGTTTTTAAAAAATGAAGAAAAATAATCTAGCAGACAAATGCCATTTGACTAATGTCAAACGTATGATATTCCACTGAAATGTTCACTAGAATTTTGTATGTTCACTACAATATGTGCTAAAGGATATACCCAGAGAGGTGGAAAGAGGTACACACAGAGGATAACAGGGTAAAATTTACTGAAAATGTTTGTCCAGATTTAATTCAGGACAGATTTAATAGATCGTTTGCTGTGCTTTTAACAGCAAAAAATAAGAGACAAACAGCAATATCCCCACCCACCACATTTACAGACCTACAGTTGTTACATGTCTGATGGAAAAATAGGTTTACTTGAGCACTAATCTATGTTAAACCCTGTCAAAAGCCCCATTATGGCATCTTTTATCTGGCATTATGTCACTTTAATAACCCAATTATCATAATTACAGTGCTGTCAAGAGGGAATGGGAGAGATCAAAATCCCCATATTCTAAAAATGTACAGATTTCTTCCTCAGCCACTAGCATGAGAAGAGTGGAGGTTGGACAAGGAGCATGGCAAGTGGACTAGCAATGTAATAACATGCTGCTCCTTGGCTTCGATAAAAGTCAGTAACTGTGCAAATGTCTGTGCTGAACTACACTTTGCCAAGCAGCAATGACCCATGTTTGCCAAGGATCAGGCAGAGGTACTTACTGCAAAACAAAGTAAGACAGGCAAACACTCTGGAAAATTCTTGTGTGCTAGAGAGGAGCCAATTTCAACTGAACCAGCTCAAATGTGGTGTTAAAACAATGGGAAAGAAGGGAGAGAGGAAGACCTAAGATGTTCTTTTATTACCTCCAGAGGCTCATCTGGTAAAACAGAGTTAGGCCTGGTTTCAAAGACCAATGAAATCAGTGGTCAACAGGCTTTAGATACGCCCTTGGAGAAGGCAAATGGGTCATGTAAATCACAAAATGCAAAAAAACCCCACATAACATGATGAGCAATGGGGTTTTGCAAGCCTTGTTTCTACTGCAGTCTTCTGAAGTCATTGCCTGAGATTTACTTATGTTGTTAAGCCCTTTGGTGGAGACATTACCCCAGATTACTGTTCTCTGTGCAGCTGCACCATTTTCTCACAGTATCAGAACCAAACTTTATTCAACGCATCTATCCATCTGGCCTATTAGAACTAGCCAACATACTCAAAAAGTGTTGAAAATGGGACTGATAAACACAGCTAAAAGCCTCATTTCATCAGGAAATCCAGTTAAGATATCAGGGAACTTTTCTCCTTAAAATTGAGCCATAATTTGGTTCTATTCTGAATTCCCATAATGGAAGTAATTCAATATGCTCAGCTACCTCTATCATAATTTCTCCTTCTACAGCAGCTTGTATCCTCCAGTCTCAAGCCCCTTTGTGACTGTCAGTTCATGACATGCAGAAACACTACTGGGCTAAAGCTATTATCATAATTTCCACTTTATGGATGGAAAATTGAGGAAGATTTAGGTTAAAAATTGCTTAGTACTTCACTCTTTTTTTTTTTTTTTTTTTTTCAGGTCTCCAATCTGATATTTCTTGGGTTTTTTTTTCTAAAGCACCATTTCACAAACTTAAAAGCAGAGCCTGGTTAGCTCAGGTCAGAAACGCAGAATTAAAGGCTCCTTTTGTATAGCAAACCTACATGATTTGCCCAGTCACACTGTAAGTAAGCAACAAAGCTTGGAGTATAATCCAGATCGCCTGACTTTCATTCTTATGCTTTTACTATTAAAGTATGACCAGAAGAGTTCCTTTCAGAAACTCCAAACTGTTTTCTTGAGTCCTCAGGCAACGAAATGAACACAGCTGTGAATCTTTCTGCTTTAAGCAAAATACTGTTATAGACCTGATTTTGATCGTGTGGATCCCAAGCATGATATACAGCTGTAATTCTGCTCAGATCACCTCTTTGAAACAGTGAGGTGCAAAATTAAAATCAAACAAGATACAGTCCTCTGAGATAGACTGCTCTCCATTTACATTCAGGTAAAAAACCCCACCTGGACATGATCCTGTGCAACCTGCTCTGGGTGAACCTGCTTTAGCAGGGGGTTTGGACTAGATGATCTCCAGAGGTCCCTTCCAGCCCCAACCATGCTATGATTCTGTGAAATCTGATGCATCTTCACTGAATTTTCAGCATTGTTCTGGACCTCTCCTATTTAACTAGCGTCTCATTCATCTCTGTATCACTATTAAATCCCACAAAGCTTCTGAGGAAATCTGATTAATCGGGGTTAAAGGGTTAAACAAAAACATTTTAAAAATGTTGCATAAGAAAAAAAAAATCTCTTTTAAAGCAATTTCCTTGTTTGCCCGGACAGACAAGCCTCAGCTGCTCTGCTGACCTGCGCAAAAGGCTGATCCATCATAAATGTTTGACGTTTCTCTGTAAGGACTGTCGGTCCCACTCACATCATGGTGATCTCGGCTGAGGACTACTGGAGCCTGCAAAAAACCAAGGATGAGAAAATGGAATCCTTCATGGACTGTCAATGCTACCGAGGATCATCATTTGCTGAATTCACTTCTGTCTTAAGTCATGTCAAACCTCAGCTTTGTCCCCTCTCCTAAACCCCCTGAAACACCTTCTCTGTGTGCTATTATTTATTACAAAACAGTTCTTCACATACAGTTCATGAAAGCCACCATCCTTCCATAACTAAGAACAAGAGCTTGTTTTTGTGCCAATGGCATCCTCAAAGGAGAGCAGGGAGAAGAGAGGAAGCAGTATGGTTATTTCATCTGAGCACTTCTTTGCTGAAATTTCAAAGACATTTCAGTATGCAAAAATCTTCATTCAAAAAAAGTTCTTGTTTGCTGTTGAAAATAAAAACTAACAGTAAGAATTTTTACACTTTTTCATTTTTTTGGAAGACTTCAAGACTAAAAATAGGTTAGCAATGAAACTCAGTGATTTCATGCAGCTCAAACAAGTCCATTCTTGATCTGGAATTTAATTGACAGTACGAATCTAGATTAGCTTGCAGGTCTTCATTATCATTGCAACACACAGGGTTTATATAAGAATAATTCACTCTTGGCATAGTGTGGTTTGGAATTAGCTGGCTCTGTTTTATGCTGGCAGTGAATTAGAAAATCATTGACATAGACATGAGCACCCAGCTTGTGAGAGGGGGAATGGAGATTTGCAGAAATGAAAAAAGGATGCAACAAAATCTGAAGGGCCTGGGAGTCTGACCTTGTCGGTTGTAGGTCCAAGGGAGTGCTCTGTCTGCTCAGGTTTATTTTTTAAGACTAGCTCGCAATGATGTTCATTTTGAATCCTGAGAAGGTCAACAGCCTTTGAAATATTTTAACGTTTTCTGAGTAATAAAAACCAGACCTTTCCTAGCTAGAATCCATTCTAAGTTTTACTTGAGTTTGCCCCTTTGAAAAGAGTAATTGTAATTCAGCTATAAAAGAGATGGAGATGAATGAGTGAACATGCCTTGGTCTGATGCTGCAGTACACACAGCAAATAAGGGGTATAATTACCGAGTGGTGCCTTCAGGATTTTGATTCCCAGGATGTCACATTGTACATCTACCTACAATACTCATGAAGAACTTAGAAAATCCCTATATACAATCTTGCCCATAGTATGTACTTTTACCACCACCACATATGGTCAGTGGGATTTTAGTCAGATGAGTAAGATATTACTCGTTATGCACTAGAGTGGCAGCATCAAGCCTAACAATTTTCTTCATTCACATATGCAATATAAATGAAAGTTGACTGCAGAGCTGGCTGTAGCTGTAATATGGCTGAAAGTGAGGTACAGAGGGTAAGAAGCTCTGGGTAGTGGCACAGTTTCTTGTTACTTTTAATGTTTGGGGCACTGCTGAGGAGTTATAGTCCCTGCCTTGTGTTTTCAGCAAATCACATCATGATATGTTGTGTTTGTAGATGCCCAAATAGAAAATAAGGCAGATTCCCACCATGAAATGAAAGATAGCATATTTCAGAGAGTTTGCAAACCCGTCTCTCTTCTATTATGTAGCATAATACTGGTGACAGGCAGAGACAAGGACTGAGCTCTAATACAGGCTAACAGAATACTGGTCCCATGTAAATGGCAGGCACTTCTGTTCTCACTGGTTGAAGCTTTCTCCTTTCCCACCTGCCACCCCAGTCTCAGATATTAAACACAATTACCGGACCATATCAAGACAAAAAAGACAAACCTTAATCCTTCCTTCAGAAATCGCTCGATTAATAGCCACAGCTATAGACACACGACCCCTCTGATCAGAGTATAAGATTCTAGCTTGAGAGCCAACAACCTGGAAAATAAAAATGCCAGAGTGATAAGGTTCTCTGTGCTTATCTTTGGGCCCCAGATAAATGGAGTCACATGATTGACCCCTTCTGTAGGAGAAAGGGCAGATTATTTCTTCATCAACATCCAGCTTCCAGAAAAAAGAAATTAAAATCCCTCTTTGAACTGAGTTTTATCTCCACTCACACAATCAGTGAGATGTATTTCTGTATTCAGCTGCTACTGTCCAATAAATCCTACTTTTTAAATCAACCTGATTGCTAGGCTATAATCCCCCTATGAACAAATCCCTTATCAACAGCTGAGAAGCAGAGGTTTGGAACTGGCAATGGTGGGCTGGAAGGGAAGAGAAATATGGAGACAATAGAATGGCAAAGAACATCTGTCCTGCACAGCTATGCTCCTCTCCAGCTTTTACCCCACAGACCAATCTGGCTTCCAGATGGGGAAAGCACATATGAGCCCTACAGTGTTACCAGTTAGCTTCACAGTGGGAGCCAGCTCTAAAAGAAAAACAAAGGATGCTTCACTGGCACGCTGCTTCCCACAGTGCAAAAGGATGGCAGTTCTTTGGCCTCATCACCTGTTTTGAAAAGGGTACTAGGAACTGCAGGCGTGAAGAGGTTGGGCCAAAGCAATACCAAGAAGGACATTTTGAATAGTGCTCTGAAAGAAAGGTAGTTACAAAGGAGGTAGACAGTGAATCATTGACATGTTCCACTCCAGATATAAGACTGGATATTGCTGAATTATTTGAACATTTCCACATGAGGAAGTGAAGGGAAAGAACTACTTCAGCTCACCCTAAAACCCTGCTGTGGAGAGAGGTTTAAGTTATCAGACCTGGGAGTTACAGCCAG